GGTTCACATTTTATGGTTCACATTTTATGATTTTGTTTTGTGTTGTTCCCATCACTTTCTCTCACTTCTCGTTAACTCTTTATTCTTTCTTAAACAAATCTACTTTTGTTTTATTGTAAGTGCTTACAATACTATAGTGCTGTGTGGTTTACAGGAACAATGGTTAAAGATAAAATTGGTAATCTGGGGTACACTGCACCTTTGGAGGCTGATGATCTGGAATTTCTGTGAATAACCAATGTCAGGGGCTTGATATCAAAAAGGATTAATTCCAAGGGACTCAGGGTGCACCTATTGTTAACCCACAATGTGAAGTTAGGCTGGCATAGTCCGGAGAAGAGTGGTCAAGTGGCTGAAAGTCTGGTTGGTGTCAGGGAGAGGACATCCAGCTACCACAAGAAAGACTCCATCTCCCTGGAGGAGGGAGTAATTCTTGTGGTAGCTGGATGTCCTCTCCCTGACACCAACCAGACTTTCAGCCACTTGACCACTCTTCTCCGGACTATGCCAGCTTAACTTCACATTGTGGGTTAACAATAGGTGCACCCTGAGTCCCTTGGAATTAATCCTTTTTGATATCAAGCCCCTGACATTGGTTATTCACAGAAATTCCAGATCATCAGCCTCCAAAGGTACCCCAGATTACCAATTTTATCTTAAACCATTGTTCCTGTAAACCACACAGCACTATAGTATTGTAAGCACTTACAATAAAACAAAAGTAGATTTGTTTAAGAAAGAATAAATAACGAGAAGTGAGAGAAAGTGATGGGAACAACACAAAACAAAACCATAAAATGTGAACTCTTGTCAGTAGTTACCTTTCCTATATAATAAAGTAGGCTTCCTACCCCCAGAAAGTTCAGCCCTGTGGAGAGCTGGCTGGTTTCACAAGAATCAGGATCCAAACATTCATGAAAGTCCCCTGCTCCTTTAAGGGATTTCTTCAATGGATACAGAACCTTTCTTTACACTTGGTGATATTGAAACAGTCTTTGGTCTTTATTCACAACCAGGGTGATCTTCCGCCTGCTATAATGTTCCTTGTCACCACCAAGTGGTTTATATTGTTTGCTGCTGTCTTTGATGGCTTTCCATTGTTCTTATTTGCAAGGGTAGATAATAGAGCCTTTCATTGCCTCGCTGTCTGAGTGACAGCTCCCTCTTGCTTGAATGGATCTTCACCAAGTCACACTACCTGGATGACTTAGGGTACATCTACATTTAAAATGCTACTCATCATCCTAGGTAATCCATTTCCCCAAGAGAAAGTAGCTAGGTCAATAGAAGAATTTTGCCATTGACCTAGTGCAGTCTACACTGAGGGGTTAGGTTGGTTTAACAATGCCACTCTGGTGTGGATTTTTCACACCCTAACCACTGTAACTCAACAACCTAATCTTCTAGTGTGGACCAGGCTCAATTTTTACGTCAAGTCCATAAAGCATACTTTCAATATAAATACATTATTCTTTTAATATTATCCATCCATCCATACATCTCATAATGATTGAGTCTTGACCAGGAGTTTTCTGTAGATACCTTATATGTTACTCATTATGGATAAATCTCCTGTAAGACAGAGTTTGGTACAGTGAGTGTCTTAGCTCTGAAGTGAGAGTTTGCAAATAACAGGGGACCCTTTGCCAAGGAGCCCCCATGTGACAGAGAGCCATCATGTTTTGAGACTAGTCCATTGAAGTAATAGCCATTCCAAATAAATTCAGTAGCTTCCTGTGATCTTTTCTCTGGAGAAAAATACCACACGAAGGGACTTTGTTTTTTGTTTTTTTTTTTTTT